AAGATAGAAGGGTTGGGAGGGTGTCTATTTCATGGATGAACTTGAGCCTGAAAAACTCCAGAGGATCTAAGGGAAGTCCATCGCTCATTGCTGACACTTTCTCCTGGAGTCACCCAGAAGGAATGTGAACTGTAATCAGGATCAACAGCACAGACAAGCTGGAGATGGGCTGTAAGGAAACAAAATAAAAGTCCAAGGTCCATTCCCATCTTGGGGACAGGACTCTACAGCTTCAAAAGGGCAAAAGATGAGATTCAAGCCTAAAACTAGAATGTATGTCAGGGACTTGTGCATAAGAGCATGGCAAAAGCTTGCTTCTCCGACCTTGTTCCTAGATCTAGCCCTAGATTACATCTAGATCCCAAGTGAGATAACAGAGCAGACAAGAGACACATCTGAGATCAGACGGGACCTGAAGGAGGGAGTGGAAGTTCCTAACTTTGAAGGTTAGAAGCCTTGAGGACAGGGTCAGCTGGGACCCCAGTCTCCTCAGTGTGGTCTTCTGCTGCTGTTCCTCAGCCATTCCTCCTTACTGCACCTCAAATTATCTCATGACGGAGAGACATGGCCATGCTTTGTCAGTGCAGCAATTGTCTAGATGAAGTAATGGCTTTTAACCTGAGCTTAAAGTGGCTCTTGGACTCCCCTGAGAGAATACACAAAAGAGGGGATAGAGGATTTGTAGGTTTCCTGCGATTCTCTGAGGGGTCTGTGACCAAACAGACATGCATGGTGCTGTGCTAGAGCCTCTGTATTCCTTTCAGAGTTATCTCTAAGAATTAAGATTGTTTTGAGTCTATGCCCTGCACAGTCTTCCTTGTGTCACAATCCAGGGGCTGCAGGCCCCACCCCCCCCCTTGGGGGATCCCTGAAGTTGCTCCACGTTCAATGCTTTCAGAAGAAGATGCTGGACTTCTGAAGGGCCAGGCTTGCTTGAAATCCTGAAGGAGCCTAAATAATTCACTAACCCAAGAGAAACTCATGAAGCACAATGCAGACTTAGTGACCCCAAAGTGTTCCAAGAGAAACAGTAGTTAAAGGAAAAATTTGGGGTAATGTGTTGACTGATAATCATTAGGAAAGAATGGTGATTCATTCCTTTTCAAAACAGGCTTTGATCTTGACAGAGGGTAGAAGCAACTCGCCTCATTTTATCTTTAAATTATCTGGGGACCAGCTTTTCAGTAGCTGGAGGAAACGAGTGATGAGTTGGTCCTTCTGACCAAAGAAATGCACATCCCAGAACAAAAGAACATTATCAAGACTCTGTTGCTCAGAGAATTTACAGAGTGTTGTTTGAGGTTCTGGGGTTAATTAAATACTAAATGTTATCTGAGAGCAGTCGCAAGTGAGGGAACAATTTATTTTCCATGGATTTATATCTATTCTAGCCTATGGTAAATTGTAAATCTTACTGCAGTGTCCAGATCCCAAGAGTAAGGATGGAAGGGGCTAGCCCAAACGCCACTGAGGCTTTCTTACCCAAATGAGCAGCTTTTGCATCAGGCAGTTGAGTCCCTTCTTGTGTTAGACGCTCCAGTCAGCAATATCACCCTTCCATCCACCCAGTCTCTTGCACAAAGTCCATTATAATCTGGGACCACTATGTCCCAAGAGAGAAGGGAGTGTTAGTGGAAATGAAGACCATCACCTGGGTACTTGAGGAGAAACCGTGTCTCAGCACTCCTCTTCCTGTTGAAGTAGCCAAATGCCTGACAGCCATTGTCCCCAGACTGGGTCCAGCTGAGAATGTTTCTTGATAAAGTGTCAGATCAGAGCTACCACCACACACACACACACACACACACACACACACACACACACAACCACACACACACACCATCCACCCACAACCACCCACACACACCACCCA